TGGAAGAAAAGGTTTGGAAGAAGATGAATAGTAGGGCGTGTGGAGTTATTCGGTCATGCTTGACGTCGGATCTTATTTATGATGTGATGAACGAGACGTCGGTGAAGAAGATGTGGGAAACACTCAATGAAAAGTATCTTACTAAGAGCATTGAGAATCAGCTTCACTTGAAGAAGAGGTTTTACCAGTTCAAGATGAAAAGGGGAATTTCCATCAGGGAGCATGTTAACAACTTCACGAAGCTACTTTCAGACATGACCAATGTAGATATCATGATTAAGGATAAAGACACGTCGATGCTACTTTTGTGTTTATTATCCGAGGATGATTATGGTGCTTTTGTCTTAACTATGATTAATGGAAGAACTACTGTTAGTTATAAGGAGATGACCTCAGCGTTAGTAAATTATGAGTTGAGGAAGAATGTCGATGAACCCTCCGAGAAAGCATCGGGAGATGCATTAGTAGTTCATGACCGTGGTTCAAACCGAAGCAGGAGATCGCAGTCTAGAGGTGCACATTATGGGATTCATAAGAATCAGTGTGTTTTTTGTAAAGAGGATGGACATTGGAAAGCTGAATGCCCAAAGATAGATCGAGCCAGGAAGAATAAGGAGAAAGCTGTATAAGCTTCAGAGGTGAATGTTGTCAAGTCTAGTGGCAACGATTTGGATTCTTCAGGCTATTCGTTATCCACACTACCGTCAGTTTGTGATGCTGACTTTACGAAGTGGATATTAGATTCGGGTGCTTCTTACCACGTTTGTCCTAGGAGGGATTAGTTCTCTAACTTTAAGTTAGAAAGAGAGGATGTTATGCTCATGGGTAATGGACATACATGCTCTATTGGTGGTATTGGTATTGTTCAGATTAGGATGAGTGACGGGATGATGCGAGAGTTGGATGATGTGAGGTTCGTTCCGCAATTAAAGAATAATATTATTTTACTTGGAGTTTTGGAGGCAGTAGGCCGTAGGGTGACCTTGGTGGATGAACGTTTAAAGGTCACATTGGGGTCCATGATTGTGATGAAAGACGTTAGAAAGAGCAATTTGTATTATTTGCTCGGAAGCACGACGATTGATAGGGAGCTGATGACTTCATTAAATTCGGCTAGACTGTGGCGTTGTTTGATGCTGGGTTAATTGGTTGGTAATACCGTGCATAGGTTGTTTAGGAATGATTTGACCTGCAGTTTGAAGTCCTGTGAACCCATTGGTATGAGCGAAAAGACCAAGGTGGAGTTTGGCACTTCTATCCATCATTCGAGGGGTCTTCTGAGGGGTATTCATTCAGGCATTCGGGGGCCTTCCAAGGGAGCGTCATTGGGAGGTAATAGGTATGTGGTTTCCGCAGTTAGGGATTGCTCCAGGCATTAGTGGGTTGTAACCAAGTTTCGTTGGTGTGAAGTCCTAGAAGCCCGCAACAGATGGAGGAAGTGTGTTGGTAGAAAGGTAACTCCTAGAAGCCCGCAACAGATGGAGGAAGTGTGTTGGTAGAAAGGTAACTCGACGTTCTGATTATGGTAGGGGTTCTTTCTTGCGTTTGTGCCGAACTCACGGTAATATGAGACACTTCATTAATGTGGAAACTTTGAGGCGACAAGGCGAGATGGCAGATTTGGAAAGCTGTTCCTTGCTAGAGGAGGATCAGCGTTTGATGTCGAGCATTGGCATTGGTATGCGGGCTACGACATGTTTGGGCCATCTTATGTATAGGTTGCCGACTGTTGCATGTAGAGATATGGGATCTGGTGGAGCTGCTTCATATGTTGGGTTACGTCGGATGTTTGGCTATTCAGCACTTGGTCACATCGTGAATATGAGATTTGATCCGATAGCACATTCGAGAGTCAGAGGCATGTTTAATTATCAAGTATTGGCTTCTGATTTTGTTCTGAGCATGTAGTTTGACTCTCGGCAGGTGGAGAGTATTAATCAGATCGTTGGGACATCACAGCAGGTGGAGGGTGATGCTACTCCATGTTGGGTGGAGTTTACTCCACATACTTTAGATCATACTGCATCATTTGAGATTCCAGTTGATGTGACACAGATTAGGAATCATGTTGATTCGGATGCAGATGATAGGTTGATCGATTCGAGTGTAGCTGATAGATGGAGTCTGGATATGGCCATTGGTTCATCTCAGGTAGAGATATTTGGATTGTTTTAGTTTGGGGGCCATTGGAGGTGCTATCAGCCGTAGACTTGATCGTGATATTAGAGAAGAGTTGCGAACTCTTCTAGTGGATTGAGGTCTTTGGAGGCCATTTGGGTGAACTACGTTCGGCTTGATTTCTTAGGCAAGAGGATACGTAGGCAGTCTTTCAGATACAACTGGTTTGATCTGTTGATTCAGATGGGGGGAGATTACATTTCAGCTCTAGTTTGGTTCCCAGACTTGTTAAGGGACTATTGGATGATTTGGTGTCGGCTTAGTTTTGGTAAAAACTTTCGCCGAGGTGGAAAATTAAATAAATAGCAAGAGAGTACAGGAAAACAGCAGAAGAATCAGCCAGGCAGACTGGCGGTCGACCGCGAACGTACACGGTCGACCGTGACGGTCGACCACGAGGACCCTGTATTTGTTTTTAGTCTCGGGATGAGATTCAGCCGACCGCCGCGGTCGACCGCGCCATGACTGTAATCGATTCTGCTTTCGGGTTTTTGGTTCGGTCGACCGCCGCGGTCGACCGCGAGACCTGCGCGGTCGACCGCAGACTGATTTTGGGTTGGGCTTGGTTTTTGATCCGGTTTGTTTCTGAGTTGATATAACCCTAAACCTGATTAATTAGGGTTAAGTAAGGACGATTTTGAGCAGTTTTTTTGAGAGGATTGCTGCATCCAATTGTAGAAGATTTATGAGAGATGTAGAGCTTTGTTTTAGGGTTTGATTGGTGAGATTTGTAACTCTATTTGTATTCTCTTGATTTCTAATAGTAAGCACTCCCCCTCTCCTTGCCCCGTGGACGTAGGCAACCTTCCGAACCACGTAAATCGTTTGTTCTTGCTGTGGTTGTGATTTGCTTATTGGTTGTGGTTTATCTCTTGGATTGTTTGTGTCGCTCCTGGAAGCTTCCGCCGCACACAACACAAACAATGTTCTATCAAAATTGCTTTCTTGAATCTAGAATGGAAATTTAAATGAGACAAAAATCCTAATATATAAGTTAAGAAATCAAACTCACTCGTGCATGCACGGGCTAACACTTGAAATAATAATAGACGAGATTGTACTTACTACTGCGCGGAGTCTTTGAATGAATGGATCGAAACTCGACTGAAAACTTTCAAACTGAAAGAAATTAGTAATGTTCACACTTGTATTACTTTCTCCGAGCTAAGTACTCATGTAACAATTAAAAATGAGTTGTCAAATTAACTTTATCCATGTTTGTCTATCCATCCATGTTTGATGGTCATTTTTCTACTTTCGAGAAGGACACGATTTGTTACTTAATTATGAGGGCGGTCGAAAGCAGTAACACGTTCATGCTAATATACTTATGCCACCTTTCTTAACTTAATTTTTGTTAAGGGTGAACTCCCGGTACCCTTTTCAATTTAGAGGCCATGGCTGTTTGTTTCGGTGGGGGGAATGTTGGCCTTCTTGTTTTGATGATGTTTAACAAACAATTTACTCCTAATGTTGTTTGTCTAGTATTTGTGTTTTCGTATTTATTCTAGACAAACAACGTGTTGGAGGTTGGATGGATTGCGTCATAACGATGATATCAAATGGAGGTTGGCGGATATAGTGGGTGAAGCTATGCAAATCCAAGTTAAAGATTCAAGTTCAAGCTTCATCCGCGAGTGTACCAAGTCAAGCTTATTGAAGATTAAGATCAAGCTTGGGTATACTTAGTTTAGGTTTTATATTATGTGTGTTAAGTACCTTATTATATTTGTAAAAATATTATATTCTTAGTTTTTGGACTTAACAATAATCATATACATATTTTATTAAATCTACATAATCATTGTGCAAAATTTCAAAACATGGTTTAGCTAAAATGTCAAAATTCACATGTTTACATTTTCATGTTTTGGCCTATTTTGTAAAATGATGATATTTTTTATTTGAGAAGTCTTTTTTTGGAAACCAGCCGTTGTAGCATGTTTATTATCATGACTACAATCATTCCCCAAAATTTTATATTATTTTGAATTTATTTGATATTTTTAAACAGTGTTTTAAAATCAAAAAACTGTTCAAAACTGAAAAATTTCATATATCAATTCACGGTCGACCGCTACGGTCTACCACGCCTGAGTCTTTTTCATAGTGGGCAACAGAAACTTTCGCGGTCGACCGTCACGGTCGACCGTCAAGCTGAATTCCTCGCGGTCGACCGTCGAACTCTCTGGAGTTTCTTCTGTTGTTTTTGTAGCTCGCGGTCGACCACCGTTTATCCCAACGGCTCTTTTAGTACAGAATCAAATTTCTGATTCTTGTCCGAACAAGACCCCTGATTATCCTCCTCTTCAGTGACGTGTGGGGAGGTAAGCTCCCGTCTATTATTCCTCGGGGCTCTTCGCCGATTTCGAGGAGACTTCTTTTTTAGCAACATTTGTTCCATCATCTCTTTCATGGAGTCGATGGCCGCTTGCTGTCTGACCATTTGCTTTTCGACAGAGCCGGCCCTGGGTTTTCTAAGGCACAGGGCAAATTTTCTCAAGTGTGCCCCTTTATACAAATTAAACAAATAAATAAATAAATTATCAATTAATTAATTTTATTAAAATTATAAGATTTTACAAAATACAATCTTCTTTTCATTGCATTAAAAGAAGGAAAAAGAGTACCCGGCCAATGTTTCAGTTGAATCAAATAATAAATAAGAAAAAGTTAAAAAGAAAGAAGGAAAAAGAGTACCCGGCCAATGTTTCAGTTGAATCAAATAATAAATAAGAAAAAGTTAAAAATATATGTATTACAAATTTACAATTTACAAAATTTATACATCTAAATTCTATATGTTATTGTAAAAAAAGTACCTTCAAAGAAAGTCGCTGCCTATCAGTCCAGTCGAACCCCACGAGGTCAGAGTTGGGGCTTAATCAAGAGCATCCTGATACAAAAGTTTAGATTAAATACTGAACCATAAAATCAAGAGTTAATGAGTTATCAAAGGAAGTTCAACATTTCAGAGCTCTGGCTCATACACAATTGAATAACATAAGCAAAACCCAACTGATTTAATCTCATAGGTAATAAATAAGGATATCAAGGGACTGCCTTCCCAACAGAAAATTTCAGAGCTCTGGCTCATACACAATTGAATAACATAAGCAAAACCCATCTGATTTCTCTTTTGAGATCTAGCAAATGCGCATCACACATTATACGCATTCTACACCTCACAAAGATATAAAAGATTACTCCTTTTTTGATGGGTAATGGGCTTAGTTTGAATATGCTTGACTTAAAATCATCAAAAAGTCACTTTGCTGAATTCAGAACTCTCAAGAACAGTCAACTGGGTCTTCCCCAAAGTTTGTCTACAGCTGTGTTTGACCAACTAATCGAAGATGTGGATCCCTTCTATTCAATTATGCCCTTTTAAATTGAGCAATCAGCACCAAAATTGACCTAGCTTTTACTCAATTGGGGGGGTGGAGTAAACAGAGGATTACTGACTGCATCAAAAAGAAAAAAGGAAAAAAATCATCGTGATTAAACTCACCAGAGATCCAGAAGGAGAAGAGGAGCTGAGGAGGAACCCTAAAAATCGAGATCAAAACGTAAAAGACATCGCAATTGAAGACAAATTTAGAGATTTGTTTTTCTTTTTTTTTCTTTTATTTCTTTGGATCTCTTTTTCTCTGTTGGGTGTGCGCCAAAAACAACGGTGTAGTGGAGGAGGGGGTAAAATAATCTGCGGTCCAGCCCAGAGCCGGCCTAGGGCCTAGGGGTAGAGGTGAAGAAGACTAGGCAGTGACAGAGAGTTGTAAACTTGTAAATTGTAAATTGTAGCTCACCCCATAGTTTGTTCACCCACCTCTAGTGCCCCTCTCAGTTTTGGGCCCCGGGCTGTAGCCCTGGTGGCCCTACCCCTAGGCCGGCTCTACTCTTCGAGCCTCCTAGTGGCGTCCTCTGGTGTTTCCGCCATGTTCACCTTGGCGTGCTTGCCATAGGCCGAACTAGGAGTCTGTGATGTCGCCTCAGCTGAGCAAGTTTCATCGTCATGATCATAAATATGTGACATGTGAGAGTAGTCGAAAGGGATGGCTACCCCAGTCCGGCTTCGGGTGCGTTAGTACACGCCCTCAGGCTCGATAGGAATGCAACTGAAACCTGAGGAGAACTCCGGATCAGAAGAGTCAGAGTATTTGGCTTTACCCTTCCCCGCCATGTTGGCCGAGGCTGCTGGAAGTTCAAGGTCATCTACGGCTCGTTTCTTCTGGTGACGCCGTCTCCCGCGAGGCAGCTCTGACTGCAGAGAGAGCCTCTGAAAGACAGATGGCTTCTGCACATCGACGCATTGGCATCCGGCAAGCACCGTCTTGATGAGGCTCTCACAATAGCACAGGGAGCTAGCTTCACGGATGGCGCGCTTGCGAGTCAGGTGCTCCCGAAGGTCTCCTCCCGGCTGAAAAGTGGCGAGCCGCCGGCGTGCAGTGAGGTTAGGTGTGCAATTGGATGATGTCGAGGGCTCAGAAGAGGCCAGCATGAAAGAACACTCGGTGAAATGCCTCGAGCGCTGGATGCAGACCGACCCTAGCCTTGACAAGGCGGGGTGCGGGATGTGGGGCGAGCATCCATGCCACGTTGGTTGGGGGAGGGGCTTCGACCTTGCCTTGGTTCTCTGGCGCGAGGGGCGGCCATAGTGGGTTGATGGCTATTAGCAGGGTTGAAGCATCGCGCTGGCATGTGAGTATCGGCGCGCTGCCGCTGCCGGGTTGAAGCTCGCACTTGATTGTGGTGTTGCGACCACCCTAAGTGGCGACGCCTTCTGAGAGTGGGGCCTGCCTAACTGTGGGCGGGGGTCGCCTTGACCATGGGCGCCCCGTGCTTGATTTGTTTAGGCCTGCCTCGGGTGGGGGTCGCCTGACTTGGGTGCCCCGCCTGATTTCTCTAGCCCGCCTGGATGGGGGTCGCCTGACTTGGGCGCTCCGCCTGATTTCTCTAGCCCGCCTGGATGGAGGGCTGAAATGGTTGAGTTGTGGAGGTCGCCTGACTTGGGCGCTCTGATTGTTTGGCCGAGTTCGTCAAAGCTAGGAATCTCACGTCTCTGCTTGAATTTTTTTGGGCCTGAATAATAATTCAAGCCGTCATAAGAGGTAGGTACCTGCGCCTCTTGGCGGGCGAGAGCTTGTCGTCGCCGCTGCTTGGCTCTCTTGGAAGTGGGGACGCTGGTGTTAGCGCCGAGGGACTGCGTGGATGACTTGGCCACCCAGCGAGCGGCCCATTGGTTCAGTTGTTCGGCCTTTGATCTAGCCTTGGTTGGCTTGAGGGAGGTGGAACCCTCTGTTGTGGTTCGGGTAGAGTCTTCGGGCATGGCGGTCTTCGCCTCCCGAGGGTGGGCCGCGCGCGCGACTTTCCGGTATCGACGGGTAGCCTTGTTGCCGGAGGAGGAAGAAGACAAGTACTCCTCGTATTTAGCCTGGTCAAACTCGATAATAAGGGACTCTACGGTCGTCCCTTCCGCAATATCGTCATATTGAGCCACCACCATCTCGGTTGACGAAACGGTTGTCCCCAGCGGAGTCGCCATCTTCTGTTTGGAGTAAAATTCCTGGTTTCTCAATGTGAGATTTGTATTAATTTAAATGTGTTATTACAAATCCTTTTAAGAAATTCAGAAAGAATACAACAGAAGCGAAGGGTCGGCCCTTCTTGTTTAATGCGGGTTCTTTCGATAGCGGTAGGATGTCTCCCTCGAATGCTTGCGTCGAGCTTGCTTCCCTTGGACGATATGATCGACGTTGCGGTTTGAAGCTTCAATGTTTGTAGGAGCTTCGGTTATGATCGAGTTCGGGAGTTTGGATATTAAAGCCCAAGTGTCTGGAAAGAGGGTCTGACGGAGGCCAAGTGTCTGGAAAGAGGGTCTGACAGAGAAGGCCTCGAACGAGTGAGCAGCTGGGAAAGCTCCGAATTTCCAATCTGTGAAGCCGATGAACTCCGAGCCTTTGCCTCTCACCCAGCCAGCTAGCTTCCAACCTCAACTGACCAACCAATGCCGAACCGTTTTAACGTTGGCCAAAGGGACCTTCTTATAGGTCAAGCAAGGCGTGGGCCTTTCCTTAATTCGTGAGATTTGACCACTATGAGGCAGGGGCCATGATTGATTATGGCCTAAGTGTGAGTAGGCGGGCTTACTTTCACAAGCAAAGGATCAGGCGAGAGCATTTATAGGCAAGCTCCATGACCAGGCGTGGGATGTGATTACTGAAGAGAGGACCATGCCACAGCTCATCATAGCCTAGTGTGTAGAATATGTGGGCCTATTCTCATAGGCAAGTGGCCAGGCAGACGATCTCAATGGCTTCCA